TTTGCAAGTCTTAACCGTTGAAGGCAGCAAGAAGTGGTTTTAAAGCCTGTTCTTGAGCAGACAAAGGGAAAAAGTGTGAATTTGCTGCTGAACTTGTCCTTTTTCATTTGACTTGCCTTGAATTATTTAGGAAGAGAGAGCACTAGAAAAAAGAGAGAAATAGAATTGGCTCTTGAGCCCTCCTAAAATGCTCCCCGTGATTCCGTGTGGAGCCCAAGTGAAGGGTGATGGAACAGAGCCCCTGTGCTTTAGAAGGAAATCAATTTCAACCTGATCTCCACCCTGAGTCTCCCTAATTTCTGTTTTTAAAATGCAAACTCAGTTTAGGAAGTGTTGGGAGTTAGTATTTTGGGGAAGAAATGGCAGTTGCACAAACCGTTCCATTTCCCAGAGGCTCTGGGAAGGATTCATTTTGTAAGCGCTGTAACTGCCATCGGTTGGGGGTTCGGGGTTGGAATGTGCACTTGCCCTCCTATAAAGCACTCGTTCATTTGCATTTCAGTGCCAGGAGTCTGGAGAAACTGGAGAAGAGCCCAAGAGACATTTTTCATCCTGAGATACAAAAGGTAGGAAGTGACTTTTTTTGGTTTGGTTCTTTTTCTTTATGATTTCCTGGAAATAGAAGTAATTAAGTATAGATCCTACTGGTTTGTTTCTTCCAGTAGCTAATAAGAATAATAATAATAATAATCTAATACTACTTAAACTGTCTCTTTATCCATTGAGCTGGCCATTTCAAATCCAAACTTCTAAACACCAATAAAACCATCATCCTTGTAGAATCTTTAATAGGAGGGGGCTAAAGATGCTGTTTTTGTTGACAGGATTTATTGGTTCTTGAAGGGCAAGAGGTGAGTACAAGCCTGACTACTTCTTGCTCACAGACCCGTCCGGTGAATACGGCTTTGTATTTGGATGGGCTTTTGATGACTTCTAAATCAATTGCTCGTTACAGTAAAAAGAAGTCATGTTTTTTGGAACCTGACAGCAAAAATAACTTGAAGCACCAACTTAATTATAATTGATCACCCATCTAAGTTAATGATTTTATGCTATACTATCAAAGTTTAAAGGTAAATTATTGTGTAGTAGGAGATGGTATAAAATGTATGTTCTAATGTGTAGGATGTAGGCAAAGATTAGAGGAAACAAATTTTTATGTCTTCTGTTTGACTGTTCACCAAATAATATTTGGTTTTATTTTCCAGGGATTGGTGAATTTTAAATTTGGAGTCCTCTATGCTAAGGATGGTCAGCTTACAGGTGATGAAATGTTCAGTCATGGTGAGGTTTTCACCTTCTCCTTAATTGTTTTGCTCATCTAAAAAAAAAAAAAAAAAAAAGGTATGTTTATTATTTGTTACCCCGTTCTGTCCGTTTCCTCCAGTATTCTGTCCAGTATTTGCTGGAGCTCTGCTTACCCAAGCTTTGGGTAAAACAAGCTTTGGGTTCCTTCTGTCCCACTGGGTGTTGCCCAGTTTGGTTGCATCTGGTGAAATTCAGCCTGAGCCCTTACAGAACCAGCTCAAACCACGTGAGAGCCATTCGCAGCTCTCTCAGGACACCCGGAGGAGGATGGGTGACGTTTCTGAGCATCTGGCAAGTGTACTTCTATCAAAACTCGGCCTGTGCAATTTCTGGGGAAAACCCTTCTGTATCCTGAAGGGTTCCTCAAACTCTGTTGAGGATCCAGTTAGCAGTTGCTCACCTGGATGGTTCCAGCTCCTCAAGCTAACACTTGTACTCTTGCCCTGTAGTTTAGATCTATTGTAGTTTTGTTATTTTGCAAGATTTTACGTCTTTGGACAGTAACGTGCATTTCACTCTTTGGAACCTCTTGGATCATTCTTTGGTGCAGCACCACCTAATGGGACACTTGGCTGCTGTGCTGAAGGGCTTGGTTACTGGAATTGTAAATCCCGGAGAGTTTGTAAGTCTTCTGTCCCCAGGGAGGTGTCACGCTTTGTTCACCGTTGCTCTGTTTGTCGGGTGCTGCTTCTCGTCGGAGGTATTAACTTCAAACTGCCCTGTTCTTTTTTTAACTTTTTTTCCTGGTTCTCTCCGTAGGGCAGGGAAGGACTCTCGTATCCCGGTCGTGAGACTCAGCGCTGCCCGAGAAGATACAGAGACTGTAAAAATCATAAGGAGCAACTAGGACTGCAGAGGAAACAAACTGGAGAGAACAAAAGGTGATATTGTTCTCCTTCCCCTGGATTAGAAACATCGACTGCGCTTTGATGCCGGTGGCTGCCAGGGGCTCGTTAGGTCTCTTTAGGCAGGTGTAGGTGTTCACTTGTAGGTTCTATTTTTTGGCAAAGGACCACGAGAGAAGTTTATTTATAGATCCAAATAAACATTCATCTTATCTGAACATAACCTGTCATCCCCTTTCTGACATTAAGGACTCCTGTATAAATACTTGGGGGGGTTTTCTTTGTCATTTCTGAATGGTTCCATTTTGCCGGCTACTTGAACAAATCTGAGGGGGTTTAATTGCAGACTGCTTCCTTGAAATTCTGTTGGTCTCTGCTTGGAACCCTTCTTGTACTGCTTAATGAAAGACTTCGGATGGTGTTTTCTTGCCTGTTTGTGGTTAAGGTCGTGCTCTGATGCATTTACAGAAGCCATGGCAGGAGAGAGTCAGCTGCTGGAGAAGAGGAGACAGTACTATCCCTGTGCAGCACGGAACTGTGCTACTGCTGTGTCATCAGCTGTGTCTGCACTGAAAGTAGCCACCTTCACTTGTAGGTAGCTCCTTGGTGCTTTAGGACACGCTGAGGGATTTATTCCTTTTGGGATCCACGATGAGAATTCCCAAGAGAGGTAGTAGTAATAAGGTCTGAGATTGGAAAAAAGCCTGTGTCCTTGGAATGTTGTTGTTGTCGTCAAAAGTTAATTTTTCCTTCTTTCTTAGCCGGTAGTCAGCTTTTTGCTTTATTTTTTGTGGTATCAGTATTTGATTGTTTAAAAAATTGCTTCAAAAGAACTGCAGTGGCTGGCCACCAGGACCTTGTTCCGATTTGCCTATTTGCTTGTAGCTAAAACGTTTCCATATTGTTTATCATTCTATTGAAGAAACTGCTGCCCAGGCAACTAAGAACTGAACATCTATCTGTCTAGGACACGGGGAGAGGATTTAGGTCATGTCTTTGTTTCCAGAAAAAAGTTCCAGTGTAGTTTCTAACTAGAGGAAAAGGGGGGGGGGGTGAAGACTCGGGGCTCTGATGCCACTGGGGGCACCCCGAGGTGCCCAGGAGAGGGAGCCCCACTGTGGTGCAGGAGCAGGTATGTTATCACGTACTAGAGAGCAAATTATAAATAGAAATAGGAAAATTATAAATATAAAAATATTTTTTAGATCGTTAAAGAAAGCGTTTTTTTTTACTTGTCAATAGGCAGGGTTTTGATGATAAAAATGATAAATACAAAGAATATGAAGGTAGAAATCTAAGTCTAGAAAGATATCATAAATACATACAGATAAAGTTTAAAGCTAGAAGAAAAAATCAGTTGCAGCAGTAGATACGATACATAATATAGATAATACTTTAAATACATGTCTAGAATTTTATAGATATTATAGATAATTATTAATAGATTGCATCAAAAGAAACGATAAATATAAATGTGAGTATAACTATACAAAGTATAAAAATATTTCGATACCGTTTAAAAGAAGGTGTTTTCTTGTATTTATTTGAGATGGGGTTAGAGATGGGGTTTTTCTTTGGATTAATAGAAGTATTCTAGAAATATAAATCTAACTGTAGAGAGATCCAATCGATAGAGGAGGATATTTCTAAAACCACAACCGAACGCCGCCGCCTTCGGGGGAATCGCACGAGCTCGGCCGAAGCAAGGCGAGAGCGGCCGACCCTGACGGCCTCGAGCGAACCGAGGCGAGGCTTCCGAGGCTGCCTGAAGCGAAGCGAGCCGAGCTCAGGCGAAGCGAGCCTGCTGCTCTCGTGCGCGCTGCTTAGCGCCAGTGCGCTCCCAGCCTAATGAGCTCCTGCCCGAGCCCGCGCTCCCGGTCGTGTCCGCGCCGTGGCCGGGCCGCCCGCGGGACGCGGCAGCGGGAGAGCCCCGAGCCGGGCGAGCTGAACGGGAGGCGGCGGCGCTTGCCCGCCCGCCGTCGGGGAGCCGAGGCGAGGCGAGCGGAGCCGAGGCGCGCCGAAGGCACAGAGCGGCTGGGAGTTGGGCCGAAGCGAGGCGAGCTCGGCCGAAGAGGCGAATGCAGGCGCCAAGAGCCGAGTTGAGGCGCCAAGAGCCGACCGGAGCCGAGCGTCTCCGGAGCGAGCCGAGCTCCGCCGAGCGCCGCAGCATCCCGGGCAGGGCGAGGCGCCGGGCCGGGCTCGGGGTGCAGCCGGGGCTCTGGGAGGCTTCCCCGCCTGTCCCTCTCTCTAGCCCTCCTTCCTTCTCCCCGTCTTCGCCTTCTCTCGCTCCCTTTCCCCCATTCCCTCTCCCCCCGCAAAGCCGGCTCCTTCCTGTCCTGTCCCTAGCCCGCTACTCCCTTCTGTTCCCCCTGTCTCCTTCCTGTGCCCAGCCTCCGTGTACCCTCGTCCCGGGCTTTCCCTTCCCGTGCCGCTTTCCTGCACAGCCCGAGCTCCCTCGCCGCCCTTTGTCGTGCCCTGCTCTCGCTCCTCTCTTCCCGTGCCCCCTTTCCTTCTTTGCCCCGCAGCCGCGGGGCTCGGGCTGCCGGAGAATAAAGCCCCGAGGGCCGGAGCCCGGCGCCCCTGGGCCCTTGCGGGAGTCCCCGCGCGGGGCCGGAGGCTCTCGGCGGATCGCCCCGTGCCGCTCAAGCAGCGCGGCCGACAGCGCCGGAGCTGCGGCTTTGCCGGCATCGCGCTGAGAGCGGCCCCCGCTCCGTGCCGGGCCGTCGCCGCCGTCTGTGCCGCTCCCTCTCTCGCTGCCCCTGGCCCGTGACAGCGAGGCTGGGCAGGAACCTCAAGCCTTCTGGGGGCTGCCCCCCCTTTCTTGTTGCAGCAGAATCCCTTGCTGGGGCCATGCACGTGTGGGAAGGGCTTGGGGGAAGCGCTGCGCTGCTGTCCGGGGCAGTCGGATTCGTTCGGAGCCTTCTTTGGGGGTCAGGGAAAGGCGGGGTGAAGGCTCGGGGCTCTGATGCCGTTGGGGGCAGCCCAAGGTGCCCAGGAGAGGGAGCCCCACGGCGGTGCAGGAGCAGGTGGGGGGCGGGCGAGGGGCGGGGGTCACGCTGGGTGCCGTCCCCCAGAGGGACCCAAAGCTGCCACCAAATGCACAGGGAGGGGTGAGTGGGTGTAGGATGCTAAAACCTGGCAAGGCATTCGGTTTTCTAGGTATTGCTAAAGAATAGGAATTGGTCTCTAAACTCAGCTGGGGAGAAACCCTCTCTATGCACTCATTTGTTTACAGGAATGTAGAAGGTTCCGACTGGAGATGCGTAGTAGTTCTGAAGATATTGCCGTGAGGTTTTGATCTAGGAGCGGACCGAGCTGTGCCCTGGAACCCTCAGAACAGCTGCAGGGGCTGAAGGCGATAGAAAGGGCTCTCTGGCACCTTTTGCCTCCGTTCTCTGCCAGCGCCCAAAGCGTGTCGCAGTCCCGGAAGAGGCGCTTGTCATCCCGAGAGCCAAAAGGAAGACGTGTCAAATCCCAGCTCTGCCTTGTGTTTCGTGTGGGTTTTTTACTTCGTATTGATGTCATTCCAGAGAGCAAGGAAAGAAGAAATGGGACCGGGTCCCACTATTACTGTGTGAAGGCTTTCTTGAAAGGCTGCTGTATTTCTATTGTCCTTTTCCACTCCAAGCTTGACTTTTGCCCTCGTTTTTCGAGCTCTGCTGCATTGGGTGTCCCAAGGAGGGCGGGGTTCCTCAGCAGGGCTCTTAGGAGGCGGCGCTGATTCTGCTTTTTCTGCAGGCGTCTCAAAGCGTGCTACCAGAATGACAGTTTTGTGCACTGGAAAGCTTTCCCTCAGTGCCATCAGCGCACGTCCGTGTCTGAATTGTGGAAGCAGACGGACTAAGAAAAGCCAGCACCCGGAGCAGATTTCTGTTGGCTCTGTGTCTGTGAGAAGCGGGCTGTGTGCTGGACGGGGAGAGGCGCTGTTGGAGAGTGGCATCAGCGCCAGGTGTGAGCTGTGAGGATGATGGGGGGCTCGGAGCAGCGCCAGGTGTGAGCTGTGAGGATGATGAGGGGCCGGCTCCTGCCGGGGGGGCGAGGCTGTTTTAGGGGGAGGCTTCGCCTCAGCTGCCTTTTGCATGGAGCTGCTGAGTAGAGGGGTTCATGGGGGGCTCCCGGGGCTGTCTCATGGAAGGACTGCGAGAGCTTCTGGCAGCGTCTGGGCGAACACCTGGATACGCGCTTGGATCCGCGGAGCATCGCTTCAAGGAGGTGCCGAGGGACGAATCTTTGTGCCGGGAAGCAGCAGCCGAACGGGTGAGCGCGTGTGGATTTGGAGCGGGGACTTTGGTCCTTTCCCTTTTCAATTGGATCTTGGCAGTCCCCCCTCCCCGGTTCCCCAGGAACAAAAAGGGAGCTTGTGAAGACAAAAGAAATGAAGGAGAGGCAAGCAGCTACTCTCCTAATATTGTCTGTGTTGGAACTGGGGGGGATCCGCTTTCGCTTGCGGTTCCAAGGATGTCGGTTGAAGGAAAAGCTGCCTTTTCCCGGCTGTTAGGGGTATCCCAGGGGTGACAGGGAATCCCTGCGTTCCATTTGAACGGGAATGGGCAAAGTATTGTTGTCATCGGATGGCTTTGATTTGAAGGTAGCCAGCCCATTTTCATCATCCTAAGGTTTAAATGGAGGGGACAGCGCTGGTGTCCCTCCTTTGCAAGGGTTTGAATGGAGGTCAAAATCCCCCTTTGCACATGGCTTGCAGGATTTCATTGGAGGAAAGCCCCTTCTTTTCTGCTCTCCCAGGGGATGAACTTGAAGGGGAGAAGCCATTTCTTTGCCCTTGTTGAAGCGAGGTGAGCGCCGCCCGCGGCGTCAGTTTCGGGGTTGAGTTGCGGGAAGCCGCAGCTCTGGCAGCGTTTGCAGGGCTGCAGTCGGGCTGTGCCGCTGCATTTGAGGGCGCTTCTTGTGGCCGCGGCCCGGCCCGGAGCGTTGCCGCTCGGGAGCGCTGCCGGCCCGGGCCGGGCGGGTGCCGAGGCGCACGGGGAATTTGGCGCGGCAGCGGCGGAGCCGCTTTGCCGGTGCGAGCCGCCGTGCGGAGCCGAGGGCAGCTGGCGCCGGGCCGGCCAAGGGCGGCAGAGGCGGCGCGGGCGCTGCTGCGCCGGCCCGGCCGGTGCCGGCCGCTCTGTCCGCTCCGGGCGCGGGGCTCGGGCGCCGCCGGGGCCCCCCGGGCAGGGGGAGCGGGCGGGGGCGGGGGGGTCTCCGGGGCGGCGCCGCCCCTGCGCGCCGGAGCAGCCGCCGGAGGAGCCGCTTTGCCGCCGGGAGCCGCGCTCCGTCCGGGGCCGGCAGCGCGGGGTTGGGCTGCCGCAAGTTCGTGGGTGTCGCGGTTCGGAGGTGGCTTTGTAGGGATGCATCGCACGGGTTTGTTCTGGTCGCAGTGGGTGTGTGCTAAGGGCTATGGCGTTCTTCCTGACCGGTACGGTTCTCGGTTCTTCGGGTGGTGACGATAAAGGTTTGGTTTGAATCGAGTTCTGTAGTGGGATATTTTTTTTGCCGGGCTATTCTGTTTTTAAAGGCGTGCAATGGTTTTTACGGGTCGTTGGGTGAAGCAGCGGCTCGGATTTTAATTCTGTCGCGGTGGCTTTTATTAGCGTGGGCGTGTAGCGTTTGTTTCGGTGGGTTCGAGGTGGCGTCGTGTCGTTAATAGCAGCGGGGTTTTTAAAATCTCTCTAATTGCGTTTGTGTTTCTCGTCTTCCAGGGCTTTTATTTCTTTGGTTTGTTTGATTGTAGTGTACGTTTTATTGTTACGGATCATTTGGGAGATCTTGTGAATGGTTACGTTTCTCTTTCGGCTTTGTGTTTATTTCTGGGTGGTATTTTTATTTTGATCGAATGAGGTTCTATGCGTTTATTCTTCAGTTGGGAATAATTTTTTTGATGCAAATTAAAGTTGCTTTGGTTTGGGGGACTTTTGTTTTACAAATGTATTTTTTTTTCTTTTGTTTCTTTTCGTTTCTTGTTGTCCTTTGACGTATTTGGTGGTTATTGATCAGTTTTATTTTTGGGAACGTGGGTATTTATATGGTGGGTCTTTTTAAGTAGGTTTTTTTTTTGGGGGTAGTTATTTTCTTATTTTTTAGTGGTTGAGATTTTTTGTTTTTTTTCTATTTCGTTCATTAGTTCGCTTTCTAAAGTTCTTTTGACAGAGTTTTGACAGAGTATTGCTTATTCTTTGAGTTAGTGTAGATGGAGATTTTTGGTTAGTTTTTAAACTAACGTTCAGGGTCAGTGGCACTGATTGGAGTTGAGTGAGTTGGTTTGGGTTCTTTTAGAGGTTTTTGTGATTTGCTGCGTGGGTTTCTCCAGGGTTTTCTTTTCGTTTGGTTCCATTTTTCTGATGTGATGAGAACTGTTAGTGGAAAGAGTGTTGTGTGTTTTTTTCGCTGGCAGTTGTTTGGCTGGTGGAGGTATCTTGATGGTTTTGGAAGACATTGGTGGGAATTCGATGCTGTTTGTTTTGTCATTGCATTTAGGAATTGGATTTTAAATGTAAAATTCTAAGGATAGCTATCTTTAAACAAGACAAGTAGGTGTGTAGAAATGGGAATAAACTTTTATTTTGATCTATTCGATCTCTATTTAAAATTTAACAGTTAACATAAGTCATGGTGTATTCCAAGAAGATATTGTAGTTTTTAATAGAGTATTGTGTATGTTGATAGATATATCAATAGAGATGCTAAATATAAACACAACTCAAACGAAATTTTAAATGTAGAAATGTGTTTCGAATCTTTGCAGATATATATATAAAATTATTAAAGGATTGTAAATATAAAGTGACATAAATCCATACAACGCGTAATACAAGTGATACTGTATGTATCTTATGATGATATATTATAGCAAGTAGCTATAAAATAGCTCTAAATATAGTCCATCACTATGATATAATATCTAAAACATTATAGGTATGGTAAATATAAATACAACAATATTATTAAAAGTAGTTTAAAAGAAAGGATGGTTTTGTTTTTTGTTTGGCAAAAGCAGGGGTTTTATTATAAAAACTACAAATACAAATAATAGAAAGGTAGAAATCTAATTGTAAAAATATCTCATGAATACATCAAGATGGATATAAAAATTGAAAATATTAGAAAAAAGAAGTTGTAGCAGTAGATATGGTACATAATAAAAATAATAATTTATCTATATGATGTGAATGATATATATGTGATATGTAATTATGAATAGAATGCATCAGTATAAACGGTGACTATAAAAGTGAATATAATTATGCAAGCTCTAACTATAACACTATTTCAATATAGTTTAAAAGAAGGGTTTTTTGGTATTTGTTTGGTTAGAGATGGGATTATTTTTGGAATAATAAAAGTATGATGGAAATGTAAATCGAAGTATAGAAATTTACAATCAATATATACTGATATGGATAAAACCACAAAATATGAATAAATACAGATAATAGGAATAGACATAATAGATTGTATAAATGACGTAACACATCACTGTCCGGTATAAATATGTGTGTGAATAGAACTAGGAAAACTAGAACTATAAAATTTATTTAAAGAAGGTTTGAAAGAAAGGGGGCTTATTTGGTTCTTGTTGGGTAAGAGGCAGGTTTTTGGCATTTATTTTTAGAGGAGTTTTTGGGGGGGATGGCCCCTGTTCTTTTTTGCCGCCTTGGCCGCCCGCAGCCCCGCGGCGCGCGGCGCCCCCGGCTGGGGTGGGTGGCAGTGCTGCCGCCTTGTGGGCAGAGCGCGGTACTGCAGCCCGCCGCCGCCAGGCAGCCCTCTTGGGCGTGGCGCGTGGCGGAGTTTGTTTGACCGTCTCAAAATGGCGGCCAAAAGGGCGGGCAACCGGAGGCCCGCGGTGTGTGTATCAGGACTGCCTGCACGGAACGCCGGCGCGGTCCCGGCGGGATATTCTCTTGCGTTTCAGGTGTACTCGGCACGGGCTGTAGGGTCAGCGGCGCTGCGGGCGGGCGTATTTTGGCGGGTTTCTGACCGGCATCTGAGTAACCGCCTCTCTCGGCTGGGGGGGGAAGGGGGGGAGACCTTTCTCGGCCGCCATCATGGGAGCGGCGCGTCGCCAATGTCGAGGAGTTTGTTTGACCTTCTCAAAATGGCGGCCAAAAGCGCGGGAAAATCGCGGACCCGGGAGTCTGCCGCCCTGTGGCCAGAGCGCGGTACTGCAGCCCCCCGAGCCAGCGCCCTGCCCCTCGCCGCTGGCTGCCGGGGGCGGGGCAAGGACGCGGCTGCCGAGCGAGGCAAGGGCGAGGGGCGGGAGCGAGGGGCGGGCGGGAGCGAGGGGCGGGCGGGGCGGGCTCGGTAAATGGCCGGGAGGGGTGAAAGACGTTCAGGAGTGCAAAAGGGACACGATGGCTGAGAAGAATGGCCGGGGGGGGGGGGGCGGCCCGGCGGGGCCGCTTTCGGCGGGCGGCGGAGGCGCGGTCGCAGCGCTCCGCGGGCCGGGGGCAGCGAGCGGGGGCGGGCGAACGCCGTCGGAACGGGGCTGCACCCCCCCCCCGAGCCCGCGCACGCGCCTCTCCAGGCGGCGGAAGCGACGGCGGGCCGGAAAATCCCGGCGGGGCGGCGGCGCTGCCCCCCCTTTGTGCCGCCATCTTTGCAAGGTAAGACCGCCCGCCCCGCCCCGTCCCGCCGCCCTCCGGTGTCTGTAAACTTCTCTCTGGCTTCGCAGGTCCGTGCTGGAGAGTGGGAGAAAGGTCCCTGCTGCTTGCCGTGTCCTCGGTGGGCAGAGATCTCTGACCTTGCCTTGGATGGGCTGCTGAGGATTGGATCCATGGGGATGTGCTTGGATGCATTTAGTGACCTTTACAGATTTCTTTCCCCGCTTTTTTCAGTTCCCAGAATCACGGAAGAATTCAGGTTGCAAGGGGCTCTAAAGATCACCTCATTCCAAGGCTGCTGCCGCCGTGGGCAGGGACGTGCTTCCATCGAGCAGCTTGCTCAGAGCCTCATCGCAGAGCACCGAGGGGCCTTGAGCACTTGCAGCGATGGGGCAGCCCCAGGACCTCTGAGCAACCTGTGCCCTGTGCCAGCCAGGTGCCAGAGGAGGAAGGAAGCCCTTCCCACCTGGAGCAGAGGCTGCGTAGCCTTGTGTCACCGAGCGTGTGAGACAGAAAGGCCCTTCCTTTCTGGAGGGGTAACAACACTCAAAGCTCTTTCTCGGGACAAGCAGAGCAATGGAAGGCCAAAGGAGCCTTCAGTTCTTCCAGCAGCTTTGGGAACAACTTGAAGGAGGAAAAGCAGAGCCAATCTCTGAGAAGGGACGTGCGAGCTCTGGCGAGGACGGCTGCTCCCCCTGGCCTTGGTGTGGGACCTCCTGAGCTGCCATTCCTGTGGTGGGAGTGTTTCTCCTCTCCTCCAGCCAAGCCAGAGACCGCCTAGGGAAGGAGCAGGTAAGGTTGAAGCACTGAGATCTCCCAGGTAAGAAGTGACACGGCAAGAGGAAATGGCCTCAACTTGCAGCAGGGAGGGCTTAGATTGGATTGGAGGGAAAATTTCTTCACTGAAAGGGTGGTCAGGCATAGGAGCAGGCTGCCCAGGGAAGTCCCCATGCCTGGAGACATGTCAAGGATGTCAAGATGTGGTGTTTAGAGACCTGATTTGGGGGGCAGCAGCTGGGCTGGATGTCCTTAGAAGGCTTTTCCAACCGCAAGGATCCTATGCTTCTGGAAAGCCTTGACCCCTCTGGCTCTAGCACAGCACCTGGATGCTGACAAAATGAGGCTGGTCATAGAGCCTGGAGGTCCCTGTGCCACAGGGAGAGGACAAGCCGGTGTCACCTGCAGGGAGGGTCTCGTCCCCAGAGAGCAGCCAGTGACTCCGTCCCTGCCTGGGGCTCTGGGTGCGCCCTTGGGGGGGGGACTCACCTGCCCTCCTTGCTGCTCTCATCCTTATCCCATATGGATTTAGCAGCAATCTTCTGTCTTTTCTTTCAAACTGTCCTTGGGAGAGTTCCAAGAGAGGGTCATTAGTTATTTCAAAGCCTACATCTTTTACCTATTGGCACTGAAGAGAAAAGACACAAACCTGCTTTGCATCCTTCTGCCTGGAAGTCCTTGTGACACGGGGAAGGGAGGAAGGGGCTGGCCGGGGTCAGCCTCTGCTGAGCCTCAGCTCTGGCTGCTCCTGCTCACAGGGTAAAGCCAAAAGCTGTCGTGATCAAAAACGCAGGCCACCCTTCTGACCTGAGTCACAGGGGCCGTTTCTTCTGAATGACTCAAGATGGGAAATCATTCTTGGAGCTTCAGAAGAAAAAAAACCCCAAAACCGTAGGTACATTTGTAAGAGTGTGTATGTACGTCCATTTCCTTGCAGGCAGCAGGGTGAGAAAGGGTGTTTATTTGAGGGCCCCCCCACACAGGGCTTTTCAGAAGCACAGCAGAGGCATTCCCATGTCTTCCTCACACAAGGTCCACTGCACTCACAGGAATGCCATTGAACTTTGCTTTTCTCTAACCCAGGTGTCACTCATAATAATGCCCACAGCCTTGGAATCAGGATGAAGGTGGAGCCTGAAGGAGCCAGGCACACTCAGGAGAGGGCCAGTAGCTGACTTGCTGGGATTTGGCCCACATAACTCTGAACTCATACTTTGGTTTTGGTTTTCTTTATTGTAGCTGACCGAGAGGCTAACAGGCGATCACGGGGCCCTCCGAGGCAGACTCATTTCAGGTGCAACGTGGATTCACATCACTGATCATCCAAAAGATAAGTCTGGGTCACGGCCTGGAGAAGGGAGAGCAGCGGGTTGGGAGTTCCTGGGACAGATTGAAAAATTAGCAGAGGGAAAAGCAATCTTGTCCTAGGGGCCTCTTAGGACAGCTAAAGGGAGAGACTCCACATTTGATGGCAGCGTGCAGGCGGGCAGGGCAGAGCAGTTCCGGTCCACGTCGTGTTGTCGGGTGTACCGTGTTACCTACTGTGTCTTTGGGGTCCCTTTTGCCTTTTCCCCTCGAGGCCCTCACCACAAGCATAATGTGTCGTGTTTAACGTCCCCCCGTTGGTCACGTTCTGTGTCACGGGTGTCTGCACATGTTTGTGCCGGAGCTGCTCTGCCCTGCCGCAGAGGCTGCTGCAACAGGACAAGGCTCAGGGACTTGCAGTTTGTGGGGTGTGGCCGGACTCTAGATGATATTCCTAGATAGACAGAAGATGTTTGGAGCTGTGAAGATATCCTGCAGCCCTTTGACGTTTGTCCTCGCTTTCTTTCAGATGCAGAAGGATAAAATCCAGGGCAAAATCCATCCACCCATCCCGAGTGAGGAGGTTCCCCCGAGCAGGTCAGTCACTGTTTGTCTCTGCAGGGAGAGTGTCAAGTGTGACTCTGTTACAGCTCTGTTCTTTTTCTTTTTAGGAAGTAAAGCTGGACATCAGCAGGCAAGGTGAGATGGGCAAGGTGAGCATTGAGTAGCGTACAGGAGCAGTTGTTATTGCTCCAGTCTCACTTTGCGGTGCAGCTCTAAGCATCCGTTCCTGTTTCTGCGCTTCAGGCAATCCACTCGGAGTAGGCCAAGCCCCAGTCACCAACCGGCCGACGCGCCGGGTTTGCCGCTCTCCCGAGCCCTGGGGAAGAATCCCGGGACTCGGCGATGAAGCCTCTGCCTTTTCTGTTTAAAGGTGTCACCAGGGTAGCCTTCAGCAATGGCCGAGGAGTTGCGGTGAGTCAGGGAAGTAGGGAGGAGGAGCGAGGCTCCGCTCAGGTTTCAGCAGCGCCACATCCCCTCGTCTCCTCTTAGCCCAGGCGTGCCCCACGACGATGGCGTCAGCCTCCGAGTGCGGCTGAAGCGTGCGGCCCCAGGAGCCGGGCATTCTTGGGAAAAGAGTGAGTGGCAGAATTGTTGGGTTTTGGCCAATGTGCTGCTGAGGTTATGCATTGATATTTTGTTTTCTTTATTGGAGCAGACGAAGAAACAACAGGAAGTTGTTGAACAACAGTGCCAGCAGGACCTTCCCAGATGTCGAGGCAGCCTTCCCTTGCACCTGACACAGACCGGCATCCCCAGATGTCTGAGAGATAAGTAGAGGGCTACGACCCGCAGAGGGGATGAAAGCAGGGTGCTGGTTTGGGAAATACTGGGATGGGTTTTTGAGTCCACTTTGGAGGTGGGGGGTGTCCATGAAGTGGCCCCTTAGGCCCCATAAAAGCAAAGTCTCACTTTTGATCCCAGTGCTGAGGTGTGCAGGGCAGAGCGGTCCCAGTGTGTATCATGTCCCTTGTCTATTGTGCCTTGTGTGTTGTTTGGGTATCTCATGTCTCTTACCTTAGGCCTTTGAGGGGCCTGTCAGAAACCTTGGCATTGTTCTTATCCTCTGTGATCTCTGCATTTCTTGGCCCGGCATCCATGCCCTACAACCTTTGCCTGGGGAGCTCAGACATGTATCAGAATTGCATCTCTCTTTGGAAGCATCCGGTCAGATGTCTTTTCAGGTCTTGTTCTGAGCTGTACGGACAGCTATGCCCTGCCAGGATCCATTATGGCAGATTAGAGCTTGAAACAATGTGAGGACAGGTAGAGGCTTCTGACTGTAGGATTCTCGGGCATCCATCTCTTCAGTTTATGGAATAAATCATTCAGTTAGCATCTTGTTCCTTCAGTGTTTTCTGAGCCACGTCAGCTTGCCATCAGTCTCACCTCGGTCGTCTCATTTGGCATGCTCTCGGTGCTCGCAGTTATCCCTTTTGCCAAGAGATTTCTGTCTGTGTTGTGTCTCCATTGTTTGTGGTGTCCTGTCTGTCCCGTGTCACGGGTGTCAGCACACACATTTGTGCTGGAGCTGCTCTGCCCTCCTGCGTAGCCTGGTGCAGTAGGAGAAGTCCCTGGGAGTTTGTAATGTGGGGTGTAGTTGGACTCTAGATGGGATTTGTAGATGGACACAAGATGTCTGGAGCTCCTAAGTTGTCTCTGTTTCTCCCCGAGCCTCTCAGGGACCCTGGGCCAGTCCCGAGTCGGCAGACACCGGGGTTGGGAGCCCCGACACGGCCGAGAGCGGGGAGACACTGTCTGTGCCCCGAGGGTGCTGAGGGCACCTGGGCTGGGGGGAGACACTCTCTGTGTGTGCCCCGAGGGTGCTGAGGGCACCTGGGCTGGGGGGAGACACTCTCTGTGCCCCGAGGGTGCTGAGGGCACCTGGGCTGGGCCCCTGTGCAGCACAAGAGACACCAGAGACATCGGTAGATGATAAAGGGCCGACTCTTAGCAGGGGTTAATCCAAGGTTTTATTAGGATCCCAAAGGAGCTCCTGCACCTCAGGGGCCTCCTGCCAAGCCCCAGGGAGATGTGCCAAGGTCACGTTTAAAGGGAGGTGGAAACTGAAAGTAGATAACATTTTACCAACCATTAAGTGACCCTAAGGGATGGATGCTGGGGCATAGACATACAGGACAGTGTATGGGGCAAGGCTTGGGGGGCTGACCCCTGGCCTCTGGCTAATCACTGGACGACTTGGACCGAAACTTCTGCATGGAGGGGATGGGAGGCTGAGTGATTGACAGAGAGCCAGGGTGGGGGTTTGGGGATGATCTCATCCTGGGAGAGGGATAACACAGGGAGAAGGAGGGGGGTACAGTTTGGGATAAACGATTTGGGAAAAATATGGGGATACAAAACAAAACTACTTCAAAGTATTACAAAGTATAGAAATGCACTACAACAGCTATGAAATAGATTTTGTGTTTACTCAAGCTTCTAAAGTCAGTCCACGTTAGGAAATGCGTAAGGCAGGAGTAAGAGTAGCCCACTTACTGAAATGCAGTGACTGATGGAGCAATGACTCTGTCCAGGCTCCTGATTTCCGAGTCCTCCATTAGAGCCTGCTTTCCTTTCACAGTTCTGTCCTCCATGGTGATGCTGCATTGTTGTGGCAAATAAAGCCTCTGGTATTGCAGAGCTGTGAGCAGCCACTTAGACCAAGAACAAAGCTTTAATCTTCACGTTTTGATAGTCATCCTCTGCAGTGCTGCATTTTGGGAATAGAGAACGGGTTTGTGCTATTTTTAGGTGCATGGAATTACAGTAACATAAATGTCTTCTTTTCAATTTAATGTGCTGTTAGCTAGTGGTTGGTTTGATAGTTCTGTGCTTGCTACAAATCTCTGTGTGTTCGGGGGTGAGCAGTAAGAACATGGAGTTTGGCACAAGCGTGAAGGAAATTAATGTGGGTTTTTTTACTTGATAAAGGAGAAAAAGTGTGTTGATCAATAAGCAGCAAGTCAAATCCAAAACAGAAGAGTGCTCTATGCTATGTAAGTGTTTATTCCAGGTGATGCAGTCACAGACAAACAAATTGAATAGTTATTGGCAATGTAATGTTGAAAATTTTGGGAATATATCCAGTCAATTCCTAAAATATTGCTGCAGTTTAAATGTTGTGAGGGACATGATCAGCAGACTGTTTCTTTTTAATTCTTGTTTGTCTGAAAACCTGTAAGAATCAGGATTTTTCTGTGATATTCTCGGTTCATGCAGAGTTCATTGATTCAAAGGTACATGGCATGCAGAGTCCTGCAAGGCCTGAGAAACAGCTGCATCACACCTGGTGGATGTCCAAGAGTCTGCACAAACAGCAGGGATGAACTTTAGGATGAACTTGCAATTGATGAGCTCTGTTGTTCTGTCAGCTCAAGAGAGCACACACCCCCCTCCTTTCCAAGGATGAACATTTAATATGGCTCACAAAGTGTGCTTGCTTTTAATTTTCTGTGCCATTACCCATTCCAGCATGCTGCTTGTCCAGATCTGTTGGAGGTGAGCAGCTCCCAGTGTGAAAGGCTGATTTCTCAGATTCTCAAACTGCCTGGGGCTCAATGGCAGGACACCCCAAAGTTCACTTGAGAATGTATCTGAGGTTGTCCAAATGCTTCCTGCACTCGGGCAGGTTTGGTGCTGTGACTGCTTCCCTGGGGAACCCGTTCCTCAGGAGAAGGTAAATGGCTTGCTAGGGTTTTCACAGTCAGCATTGAGCTTTAATGCAGGTTTGATAATGCCCAGTACAGCATAATAGCCACAGGAGCATTATTCTGCATCAGAGCAAAGACATTGCTGGATTTGTGGAGAGATCCAGAATAAAGGGAATTTATTGTCCCAAAGGGAATTCTGAGCGATACCATAATGTAAATAGAACATAGGAATGCTAATAAAGAATGAAGTGAACATTGCTTTCAGTTAATAATCATTGTGAACACAATATTTATACTCCACATATTGTGTTTTCTCATGCAGTGGTCTTTAAACCAGAGAGATAATAGCTGTTGATCTAAGAGTTATTATACTTTAATTAGGAATGATTCTTCTCTAGAGCTTTTACTTGTCTTTGTTCTAAGAGCCAAAGTTGTTGAACTTTTTAGTCAAGACAGAAACCAGTTGTCAAAGTTGAGAAAGAAAAATGGAAAGAGAAAAATAATGCCTTTTACTCTTAGTTCTCTTTTTTTTCTTGCAATATTGGTAGAGAATATTCATGGAAAATACTTAGGCTTTTTATTTATTTTCCTGGAAATATAAGACAGGTGCCTTGTTTTTTGTTACAGTAAAATAATATACTCTTATGTAGCTATGACACTTCATTTTGTGGCTTGTTACTGTTAAACAGTGCCAGGATTCTGATGGCAGTCATGTAGGCTAAATAGTTATATCTGAAATTTTTTTATTGCTAAATAATTCATGGTCCTTCTCCTTTTTATTTGCCCCCTTTTAGACTGACTATTTGAGAGTTCTGAGTAGCCGTGTGAAGGCTGCTCCTGTTTTACTCAAAGTGTGGTATTCGCATTCTCTGAACAAAGAGAGATTTAATTCTCTCTCCCAGGACTTTTCCTGGGGAAGGCAGTGAGAAACCTCAGAGAAGAAGAGAAAACAATTCTTATCTCTACTTGCTGCTCCTGTTTGGAACATGTGGAATGTGTCGTGGAGATGGTTTGCCAGAAGTGATTTGTGAGCTGGACACCAGCGAGGGTTGTTTGGACTGATTGGCCAATTGGGTCAAAGCTGTGTTGTGACTGTCTGCAGAGAGTCATGTGTTTTTCTTTAGTAGTATTTGGTATCTCTTTAGTGTAGTTTTAATATGGTATTAGTGTAATATAGTACAGCTTAATAAAGCTTAATAAAGGATTTGTTCAGCCTTCTGGAATCATGGAGTCAGAGCACATCATTCCCCGGATGGGGATCGCTCATCTACGACACAAAGCGCGGATTTTTACACCTTGTCGAGCTGGCATCTCTTGCTGACGCCCAATTCTTGCCCTTCTACAGAGGAGCTCAAGGAGAAGCTGCAGCAGTATGTTGATGAGGTGAATGCCCACGAGCCAGGTTTCATCAAGGCTGTCCGGCACAGCAGGCAGGAGGGGCTGATCCGCTCCCGAGTCAGCGGCTGGAGAGCAGCCACAGCGCCGGTCGTCGCTCTCTTCGATGCCCACGTGGAATTCAACGTGGGTTGGTGTGTGCCCCTTCCATTCTCTCACCCAGGGACCTTTGCCAAGCACTGGTGGTAAATTACTGACTGGCATTTAGAGGGTGAGTTAGAATTTTGAGCTTTTTAATGAAAATTCAGACATAATCATGGACACAAGCAGGAAAAATGTGTTTGTGCTGTGTAAGATGATCTAGATACATTTTCATGGTTTGAGTAATCTGCTGGTCTAATTACAAGGTAGTTAAATCATATTAGAAAACTGCACATTAAAAATCTCCTCCAGTAATGTAGCCCTTTGCCCATGAGGGTGAATGTATCTTCTTTTCATTAAAAAAGATTATGTTTCTTTTACATTCTGCAGTGTAAACAAAGAAGCGTTTTTTTGGTTATTTTGGCCACTCTGCAAAAGTAAACATAACTAAAATAATGTGTTTTACCGTGTTCAGTCTGGATTTAATATCTCCCTTGCTCCTTAAGTAAAAGTGAGGTAAAAAGGCAAGAGCTTCTGTCTCTAGGATAGATCTATTATTAACTCTGCTCCTGATGTCCTTGATAGTGTTGCGAGCCTGAAGTTGTCATTACTTGGTAGCAAGGGTATAAATGCTCTATGATATGCAGATACTCATTTCTTCCATCCACCAGCTCAAATCAAGGTTAACAACAGAGCCTCCTAGAGAATATGTTGCAGTCTATTATTTTGGGGCAGAAAGGGCTCTGAATGGGTAACAGCTTTAGACTTTGCTCCTTCTGAAAAATACAGCATTAGCTGCTATATTGTTTATTTGGTGGTGGACTAAATACTCTTTAAGGGCTCCTTCCAAACCAAACTACTCCATGATTTCCATCAGTGCTATGCTTGCAGTGGTGTAATCTTAACAGTGTATTTCTTTTTTTTTTAGGGCTGAACCAGTGCTCACCAGGATAAAAGAAAACAGAAAAAGAGTAATTTCTCCATCATTCGATAACATTAAGTATGATAATTTTGAAATAGAGGAGTATCCCCTCTCAGCACAAGGCTTTGACTGGGAGCTGTGGTGCAGGTATCTGAACCCTCCTAAGTCCTGGTGGAAACTGGAGAACACAACTGCTCCAATAAGGTAATAAATAACTAAATTACAGTGTCTAAAAGCTCTCCTGGGTGTGACAGGGGGCAAGTGGGCTCAGCTGTGTGATAGGTTTTACTGACTGTAAACTTCAAATACTTAAATGTCCTTGATGCCTACACAGTCATCAAGAAAACTCCTGTTTTCAGTAGATGTTTTTAAAGGAAACTTTTGTTTTCAGTAGATCTTTTTAAACAGGTTTCCTGCCCAAGTGGAATGGTAGGCAGGGCTGCTCTGCAGCACTCTGTTCTCCAAATGTCTTGCCTGCTGATTTAGTGCTTACGGGCCAGAAATGGAATTTTCTTTGCAGTTACATTGCATAAGCAGAGCTGACCTGACAGCTGTGTTCTTTATAGTGTTGTCACATAGGTGCACAGCTGTGCTGTGTCCCAGGAGTTAATGTCTGGTCAGTGACACTGTGAGCAAAGGCTGCATTGGGTCCTTGCTTTGGGACAGTCTGGATCTGCACTTTGTTCCCATGTCCAGAGTGTTGTCAGACTGGTACAGAACAATCCCTTTGTCTCAGGGAGGGGAGTAGTACCCTCTGAACCCACTGAGCAGCTCTGCTGAGAGTACAGGCCTTGCTTGTAGACACACATTCATTCCAAGGAGGGCACTGGTACCTGTGCTCCAGCTCCCTGCAGAAAGGAAGTGTGAATGCTGTTCTTACCTCCTGAAAGCAGAACCTCAAACAGCACTGGCAGCTGTTTTTCATCCAGCAGCTATCTTGGCAGGCAGGCACTTTTCTCAGGTTCTGTCAGTTTAACACCCTCTGAACTGCACTGACCTATGAACAGAACCTAGAATTGGAAAGCAGGAGATAAAAATTAACAGGTTTGCCAAAGACAAACGTGAAAAGGGGTTAATTTCCACAGCATTAGAAATAGTTATTGCTGTTAATGAACTCTGTTGACACTATAAAAATGTTCCTGTGAAGACAGGTTGAGAGAGTTTGGGTTGTCCAGCCTGGAGAAGAAAAGGCTCCAGGGAGGTTTACAGCACCTTCCAGTACCTAAATGGTGATTCCAAGAAAACTGGTAAGGGACAGAAGTAGGTAGTGATAGGGCAAGAGGGAACAGCTCTAAACTGACAGAAGGCAGGGTTATGTTAGATATTGAGATGAAATTCTCTCTGTGAGTGTGGTGAGGCACTGGAACAGGTTGCCAGGGAGGTTATGGATGTCCATTCATGGAGGTGTTCAAAGCCAGGCTGAATGGGGCTCTGAGCAACCTCATCTGTTTGAAGATGTACCTGCTCATGGCTGGGGTTTGGAATGAGATGATCTTTCAAGTCCTTTCCAGCCCAAGCCATTCTATGATCCTGTGATTAATTATACAGAGTAACCATTATGATTTTTAAAATTAAAAGTAGTGAAACACAAAGTAATGACTTTTCCATTTTACCCCCAAACTCTGTTCCACATGAGGACTGGGCAGTGCATGTACTTTATGAATTTCAGGTTTGTCCCCTAACTCTTTCCCTGGCACATTTTTTAATTCAGTGCAATATGCTGCATGTGTGTGTTGGATAATTAAAACAAGCACACCAACAAACAAAGCCATGTGTCTTGATGGATGGTTTCTATCTGCCTCCATTATTCTTTTAGAATTATAGCAAAGGGAAGCAGGTGCACTGAGAAACACTTAAAAACAACAACAAAGGCAAAAGTACCTATCATAAATGAAGCATAAGTTTTGTATTGATGTTAACTGCTATTTTCTTCATTAATAAATACATCAAAGATGGTCTTTCATTGTTATAAAACGGGTACTATAGCACTTGGAGGCATTAATATATAGATTTCTGTAGAACTGTACAATTTGTGATTAAGACAGCCTATGATCTGTTTGAAAGCAGATGTGTCCACTAGCTGTAGCTTGAGTGTTCTCCATAAAAGCAGGGTGATTTCTCCTGTACTGCTAATTAATATCTTGTCATTACCAGAGTGCCAGCATAATAATCTGAAAAGACATATTTATTTCTTGCAATTGTGGATTATAAGGTAGGAGAAAAATGAAAAGGCTAAATGACTCTGTATCCTTCTCTACTCATAAGGTGAAATTGTACCCTCTGTGGCTGAACTCTTACCTGACTAAAATTGGCTCTGTGTAGCAAAAATTGGTTGGTTCCCACCATGACATAAGTAGAGTTTACTGATCCAGTAAAGCTATGTGATTTGTTTAGGTTTGGCTCAGGATAATGGACTAATGTTATGCTGGTAAAGGCAGGCTTTGCTTGATTCTGTATTAAAAAAATGTATCTGGATGGTCCTATTCAAGAAATAATCTCTTTCTTTAGGTAAGCTTACAGACACAAGTTTTTAGCTCTAGCTGAACCTGGCTTCTGGCTAAACACACAGAACTGCACATCATTTGCAATTGTCACAGGCAAGAGCCTTGAGGACTTAGCAAGGACAGAGGCTACACTGGCTGGTGCCCCAGAAACAAAACTGGGGCACCTGGATCTCACACTACTAGCACTGAAATCCTTACTGCTCTGGTGAATATTTATGTCCAATAATTTGACTCTAATTTCCTTCAATGGTGCTCATTTCACTTTAGAATTAGGAATGTCAGAAGGCAAGGCTCAATAAAGCTCTTTGAGAAATACTTTCTTAAGAATCTGTTTTGCTGCATCATTTTACGTAGCAATGATAAATACAATCTGTGCCTGAAAAATAAAATTCTTCATAATTTATCTGCTAATTTTGGTTGCTGATGATTTATTCTTCCAGAAGTCCTGCACTGCTTGGATGCTTCATAGTGGACAGAGAATACTTCCAAGAGATTGGATTGCTGGATGAAGGCATGGAAGTATATGGAGGAGAGAATGTGGAGCTTGGAATCAGGGTAAGGAAGGCAAACAATTAGCCCATACTGGTGGCTTACATTTAAAATATAGCTTACTTCTTATTGCAGAGGGGGAAAGCAGTCCAAACCATGGATGATGGCATGGAAAGGAGATCCACAGCTCTGCAGACATGTACATTTATTTGAGGAGAGAGGAGGGAAAAAAGAGCAATAGCTCTCTTCACAGAACTTAATCTGGGACAAGGGTAGATGTGTAGAATTTGGGATTGTTCTTTCAACAGAGTTTTGCAGAGTTGATAGCTAAATTTCCCTGCTTACCTGTGGTCCCAGACTCAGTAAGAACAGTTTCTCACAGGTGTGATGAGAAAAACCTTTCTAGATTACTTGGTTTATTTAAATTAGCAAAATCACTGTGGAGCAAAGTAGAATATAGGGGCATTTATGCTGCCTTCCAGACAGAAGGGAATTAAGGTATTCATAATGTGAATATATTGTGAGTGCATATATTTTCTTTTTCCATTGTACACTCTTCACCTGTTTACTATAATGCAGTATTGTGTGTGATTTGTGTACTTCTTTCTGTATCTCTTCACAGTTTAACACCTTTCTGTTCTCTTTGAGAATCTCTCAGGTTTTTGATAAGGGTGGAATTCCTAGGTAGATAATGGTAGTGAAAAATGGGGTGGTGTGTTATAAAAATAAATTGTGAGCCCTGCTAGGAAAGGTAAGGGAGAGGTAACATTGTGTTTTGAGCCTTTTAGCTGCCAGAATATCAGCATACCGTTGTACAATAGCAAAAAAAGGGGAACTTACTGTAAGAATAGATAATTATCTCCTGAGACAGCAAGATAGAACACAAAATACTCATTTTTATTTCTGGCTTCTTGAAATTCTTTTTCTTCCGCCTGTTAGAGATAAAGAGGTTTTTCAGCCAGAGTGAAGCACAGACCCTCTTTCAGCTTTCTCTCTCCCTCTTTCACTTTTTCAAGGAAAGGGAGAGAGAAATGCAAGACTGCTTCTTTTAATAACATTGTTCTTCTCACTGTAAGGGCCAGAGAGCTGCCTTCTGCTCCCAAAAACTTATTTTGCAGCTCAGTGTTGCAATGAGTTGAAAATTACCATCACTTTGGTTTTTCTGTTCTTTTTCCAACTGACAAAACATTATTGTTTCCTCATGAGTGCAAGGAGTTGTCTCTGGGTTTGCATCATGAGATGTCTCCTGTCTGGGCTGCAGCACTTAGCCTTGGAGGAGTTGATGTTGGTATGTTGGTAGACAAGGCCAGAGAGACACAATCTCTGCATAATTGAAATTTTGGAGTATGCTGGATCACTGAAATAAGGCCTGACACTGCTCTGATTTCCTTATGGCTTTTTCTCTGTCTCCAGGGAAGCAGTGCCTGACCTACATAAAATACTCTCATCTGTAACAGAGTGTAGTGTGCAAGGTAACATAATACATGCTTCCTTATCTGAATTTATGCTGGCTTGGATCTGCCTGTATGAAAACAAATTCCAGAGCTGTAATAAATTACAGATTGTTTAACAGTTTATTAATGCTCTTCTGACAATCCTCAGTGTGTCTGAGATCATCCAAGGGTGAGACTCAGTGAGGGGAGACCTCAGTGTGGTCTTCAATATCCTCACCAGGGGAGGTGGAGGTGCAGGCACTGATCTCTTCACTCGCGTGGCCAGGGGCAGGACCCAAGGGAATGGCCTCCAGCTGTGTCACAGAAGGTTTAGGTTGGATATCAGGAAAAGGTTTTTCACTCACAGGGGTGGTTGGGCACTGGAACATCTCTACATTACTTGTGGTGCTTTCAGCTGTGGGGCTGCTGATGAATGCCTTAATCAAAATAGTCATTGTTCTACAAAAACGACATTGTAATTACAGTATTAGTGCAATAAATAATGTTTCCCTTTTAAAATGCTGCTCTCCAATCTGTGACTATGTAGGCTCACTGCACCTCCTCTTTCATTGTCGTTTTCCTTTTTTTAAAGAAGTGTCTAGATTTTTTTAGTATTCTGCTGTGTGAAAAGCATTCTCATTCAGGATAATGGACAAGCAGACACTGTCTGTCCAAAATGGCCTGCTAGGGAAATTTTATGCAAAAGCTTGTAAGAGCAAACATCTAGAGGAAGAACTGGAGAGTTTATTTTTGACTGCAGAAATAGCACATGTTAGAATCATTTGAGCTACCTGTTTATCTGAAACACAGTGGGTAGAACATGGTCCCATGTCCATCTATCACTGATTTTGTTCCAGAGGATGTAAAACTTCTGTGAGGAATTAGACCCTGACAAATGGAGACTTTTCCCACTATCCTCACCCAGGAGTTATGTTTGTCACCTCATCATCTGCACAAATATCTAGTTATTTATGTTATAGGAGTGCAAGAAAATCACCAACTATTGGAAACTGTATTTGAAGGATCCATTGCTGGCAAACCATTACAAGCCACAGAGAGCAGGACTTTGGAGGATTGTTCTCTTGATTCTGAATTTGCTTCAGAGCTGCTACTCAGCTCTGTTGGTCTCTGATTTGGAATACTGTTTTAACTTCTAAGATTTTTACCCTTGTCTATGGATTTGCAACAGCATTTGTAAAATTCTAAACATGTATTATTAAATAAATATTAATAGAAATCTTTTGCCTTGAGCTAGAAGCTGGCAGATGAGTTCAAAACATGAATGGATTTGATTCTTAGAAGAAACTCTTTACTCTTCAACCAAATGTTTTCTTGTAAATCTGTTTATTTGCCTCATAAGACAAAAAAGGCAGGCTGGTTGATGCAGGACTTAATAGAATCGTCTTTGAGCAGTTCAATCATTTTAACTGGGGTTTAGAAAGATTCATTTACTGTCAAGAAGCATCATATTTATAAAATCAAGTTAGAATGAGTGGTGCTTCTTTTTTGTTCAATCATTCCCAATTGAATGGACTTAAGTGTGCTTTTAAATTACCAGGTTGCATTTGGAGGGCAGATTGGAATCACATTTTCATCCATGTGCCCAAGCAGGAACTGTGTTGGTAACTGCCTTAAAAGAATGTGAGTGTAAGGCTGGTGTTTCTCAGTGTCATTTGGGCTCAGCTTCTGGCTTGGGCCTGCACAAGCAGTTCTTGTGGCCGTGGAAGACCCTACAAATCCTCTGCCATCAGTTGCATTCATTCAGCCAGGTTCTGCTTTGCATGGTTCATGTCTGGTTTGCAGTAGGCTTCTTAAAGGCCTCTTCCAATTCCTACTGAAGTCAGAAGAAGATTTTCTATCAAAAGCAACCCTGTAGCAATTCTTTTGTCTTTTAAAGCAGCCTACATACTTGATAAAGCTCTGGAATATCTGTTACAAGAAGTTATTTGTGCCACTTTTAGGGATGCCCTAACAAATACTCCGTGATTTGCCTCAGGTCCCAGACTAAGTCATCATCAGAGTCCTGGGAATGCAAGCCCAGGCTTTGACTTAGAGTAATTCTGTGTGTCACAAAGACTTTGTGCTTGCAGATGAATTCGTGTTCACTAGGATATAATGGCCCTCTTAAGTGGGTAAGAGGAAAATTTATTAGAAGCTAAAAGCTCTTTAAGGGATTGGGTCTTGTTCCAACTAAATGCTATATCAGGACTTTACATCAGGTGACCCAGGAGGAAAATTGCATTTATAGTTAGACTGAGTGTGGCGCACTACTTTTGTGTAGTATATTTCTGTAGTGAAATTAATTGCTTCATTTCTTGCTAGTCGGGTGGTTTGTCTGCAGACCTTTTGTGAATCTCGTGCTGTTTCTGATGTTGGAGAACTGGAGGAATGCAGTTAATGAATAGAGATGGAGAAATTAGTTACTTGAGCAAAAAATAGTCCCAGGGTTCTTTGGGGTATTTTCCATACATGAGGGTCCCTCTGTGGCAAAGCAAGCAGATGTGAAGTCTGTCATGGCTCTCTCTGATCTATTGTTTTGGAATTCCAGAAGTTAATATTTGTTTGTTAGTTTTGGGCTGGGTCTTTGGGTCTTACCTATCTTGTCTTTTCTTTAACCCCCTCCCCACAACATGCTTCTGGGATCGTGATTTTTCATTGCTTTTTTCATTGCTTCTTAGTTAAGTGAGTCTCTCCCATTTGGTGCCTAGAAACTGATGGCTGCTTACATGTTCCAGCCATTTCCAGTCCACAGTGTGTGTGTATCCTGATTGTTTCTCACCTGAGATCTTTCTTACAATATTGCCCTTGGGATAGTGTTCTTTTTGTTAATCACAGGCAAGTGAAGGTACTTACACTTGGCCCCAAATCTCCATATTTATGGGGAAACATGTCACCCTTTTTCCTCTTTACCTGGAAGTTTCCAGCAATTTTACCTGTCGGTGTTCCTAACACAGGCCATAAATGACACGAAACTGTGACTATATTGCATGTAAATAGATGTCTGACTTTATTAAGGAAAGCCTTTGCACAGCTGTCCTGGCCATGGCTGGGGTGGAGATAATTTTGTTCCTAGAAGCTGGTACAGTGCTGTGTTTTGGGTTTAGGATGAGGATAATGTTAAACTGCACCAACAGTGTTCAAGCTCAAGTGAAGTTTCACAGCACATAGGCTACACTGGGTTACATTTTCTCCTTCTCCTTGCCATGCTCTTGTTCTAGCTCCTGCAGCAGCTCACCAGTGCTTTGGGCCTGCCAGCACAGTGGTCTGCCCCACACTGCTGCCTCTGAACACCTCTGCTTCAGTAAACTTTTATTTTCTTTCAGATACAGGGTTAATTGTAATGCTAATCAGCTCGTGATTTGCCCTGCTGCCTCACAAACTGTTTTGTTAGGCAGATTGACGGGCTGGCATGCCAGTGTGATAAATATGGCCAGGAGACTCCTTTAAAAAGGCCTTTATTACCCGAGGGGTCGCGCACAGCGCCGCTGCTCCCACAGCACGGTGCTGAGGAGGAGGAGGAGTGCAGCAGGAGGGTGCGTGCAGCTTTGTCTCTCAGCAGAGCTGGGGCTTCCACCCTCAAGAGAATCCTTAGGAAGATGATGTTGGCTTGTAGGCCAGGGGTATCACCCAAGC